TTCTTAGCTAGTGAATCAGCAAGACCGTTACCTTTCGATGTGACGTGACCTTTGATCCATCTGAAGGTGACCACATTGTTGATGGATACTTCAGCCAAAGCTTGGTGACATTCTAGTACTAACCCTGAGTAAATTCGTGGTCTGTTCAGGGCGAGTAGTGCTTGTCTGCTATCTGTATAGATGAGCATGTTCCTTCCAGAGATATTGCTGCTATGAGAATCCCCGTTAGCTCTGTTTGAACTACACCTCTCATTGCACAAACTACCATTTTGTGCAGACTTATCAAACAACACTCGTATTTTTTTTATTAAAAAATAAATTTCGAATGAATCATCTTTTATCGCATCTGTTATTTTATTTTTTCTATTATTTTAATTCAGTACCCACTAATTTTAGATACAATTTATTTTTTACAGCTACATTCTTATTTTTAGATAGATTTAATTTATTTTTAAGTATATTAGAGTGTCGAAAACAAAGTTTTAAACAGAAAATATTTATCTTGTAGTACAATTTAATTGTCACATGAAAATATATCGTTGATTTCTAGAGATCGGTGTTAAAATAAAATTAAAATAATGGCTATAAATTAAATGACGAAATGTAAAAAAAAGCGCTTCAATATAAAATATAAACAAACAGTATATTCACACAAACTTGACATATGAGAAGTCTGTAATGTTTTCTCTGAATGGTTAGATATCAAATGATGGTATTAAAAGTCAGTTATCAAATTATGTGTCACTTAATTAGAAGATTGCATTTTTATGGATATGACGAGACCATTATCTTTACCTAAGCACGAAAATAAAAAAATGAACTTTAAGTTGACAAACTGTTGACTGAGACTGTTGACTACTAAGAATGTTGACTATTGAAACTGCTGACTACTGAGAACTTTAATTTTCGAAACTGTTGATTGACACTGTTGACCTCTGAAACTGCTAATTAGAGACTGTTGACTACTGAGAACGTTGATTATTGAGACTGCTGACTATTGAGAACGTTAATTTTCGATACTATTGATTGACACTGTTGTCCGCTGAAACTGTTAATTATTGAGACTGTTGACTACTGAGATTATTCACTATTGAGACCATGGACTGAGACTGTTGGTTTAGACTGTTGACTGCCAGACAAAATATAAGAGACGCACTTCTTTGTTTAAAATTGCTGCAATTATTTTGGCCTATTATAGCTATTATACAAGTTTAATACAAACTCTAAAACTCGAGTGTCTTAATAACATCTTGAACGCTTTATTATTGAAATTCTCAACATTACTGATTATTCCACTCAATCTGTTTTTAAAACCAGTTTTGTTATTTTTTCTTTTTCGATATTTTTAATTCGACAAGCCTCTGATACGGTTCACACTGTACGAAAAAATGCAGCTGGACAAATGCATTAGTCGTTTTTAAATAATTCGCAACATTACTTGCAAATTTTGGTGCGCGGTGAAATGCAGACGGCCCAAAATGTAAACGACACCGATGACCTTGAAAATTTAAAAGATTCGTATCTATACACGTAGATTCCAATGTATTGCATACGGGGGCTGTTAAATAACTCCGTACAAAAATAAAGATAATATTTATTTTGATGCAGATGATCTAAAATTGTACTGTAAAGTCGACACTCCTGAAGAAAATTATGTACTTATTAAAATTACTTTATCACCCTATAGAATGAAAACTAGGACGTTTACAGAAAAATTAAATTACATTTTTCTTATTAATTAGTTAAGATCTACAAGTACCCCGGTTCATGGTACATACACGTGCTCTTGAGCAGAAGCTAATGTGTACATGTGTGTATAATTTATTTTTGTCGAGTTAAATGGGTTTAACTTTACCAAAGAGCCAAAAAACTTCTTTGTGTATCAGCAGTATTCCACAGTGAACCAAAGTGCATTTTATTTTTTAAATTGCTATTATTTCTAAATTTGTGAAAATAAAAGAATGTACCAGTGATAAAAAATAGGGTGATTCACTGTTGAACAACTAACGCACAACTTAACGCACTCACTTTTTCAACTTACGCGTAATTTGTTCTTAATTACGTTTGATATTTAATAAAACTATTACACTATACATCAAGGTATAAAAATTCATAATTATTTTCATTAAAATCGCCTCTATTCAACATAACCTACAATTTCCGGACAATAAAACATCAAATACCAATTAAGAAAAACAATATCATATCATCGCACTTGTTCAACCCATGCACCATGAATTTTTTGATACCCTTATTAAAATTTAAGATATCCGACGATGTGTGCGCTGGCCTCTTAAATTGTTAAAAAAACGTTACCCATTATCCTCGTAATGGACTCATTTTCATTCGGTAATTACCTGGGTAATTACTGGTAATTAATATTATTTATTTATGCAATTAGAGAAGAAGGAATGGTGATAAGTTATGGTATGGGAACCATGACATGGGGGCTAATAAGGTATGGGTAATGTGGGTATCTACACGGCTTTATACCTGCCAAGTCGATATTTTATTTCAAATAGGCGCCTATAGTTTTATCAACATTGTTAATAATATTAACAATAATAATATATATTATTAAATAGGACGTCTGCCCTTATAAAACCTTACAAAATATTAAAATAATATTGATAATTGTACTAGGAAAAACAATTACTGATCAGTGAAACACACATTTATAGTATATTACATTACGAGTGTGGAAAGTGACATTTTTCACACGAGTGGGAAATATTGTCGCACGAGGCGTAAGCCGAGTGCGACTATCACACGAGTGTGGAAAATCACTTTTCACACAAGTGATGTACAATATTTTTCCTACGACCACAAAATAATTTCATCAAAAAATGTAAAACCAGATTATTATAATAATTAAAATGTATTTAAAAAAATAATCAACAATAATCGTATTTATTAAATTTTCATAATTTCTAAACAAATAAAAAAATAAAAAAAAAATAAAAAAAAAAATTCTGGCACAGCCAGGATTCGATCGCGGTCGTTGGACGGTCTCAAATTGCAAAGTTGATGCTCTAACCAACTGAGCTAACAGGCCTTACGGTAATTGATTGATCTAATCGCTTATGTGTTTAACCAGAATAAAAAGCAAATATATCTTAGTTATTTTAAAATTATTTTAAAAATAATTGTTAAAGATAAATATCTAGGATCTAATTTACAATAATTTAACAATCATATCGATTTTAGCATTAATATGGACATTACATAGATCAAAATAGAAATTATGTGTTTGACATTTTCTGACAGCTACTGCGGAAAGTAGCATATTCTCACTTGGGTGGAAAGTAAATTCTTATTCATACGCGTGTGATATAGGGCACTTTCCATAGGTCTATATAGTGTGATATGTGTCACTTTCCTAAGTGGTCGTAGGAAAAAACATTTTCCTTTTAGAAATAATAGAGGATGTGTTCGATGGTCTCATCTTTTTGTTCACAGCATCTATCTATCTATCTATCTATCTATCTATCTATCTATCTATCTATCTATCTATCTATCTATCTATCTATCTATCTATCTATCTATCTATCTATCTATCTATCTATCTATCTATCTATCTATCTATCTATCTATCTATCTATCTATCTATCTATCTATCTATCTATCTATCTATCTATATCTATCTATATATCTATCTATATATCTATCTATCTATCTATCTACCTATCTATCTATCTATCTATCTTTAGATTCTGACTAATTGTCCTCCCTGAGTTCACATGGTAGATCCCAGCTCCTGTGTTGCTTTTCATTTTCAAACCGTCTGTATACCAGGTTGATTCGTTTTGTTTTTCCCTATTTTCCCGGCTTTTGGCCCTTTCTGGTATTTGAATATTGAAAGGTTTCCTGAAGTCGTGAATAATGGGCGTTCTATCTAATGGCATTCTTAGTACCGGATTTTGTTTTAATTTTTCTAATATCATTGTGTCCTTCTCTCGAAAGTTCCCATTCAAATCCATTAGTAAATAGCCTGTATACCACTGCCATAGCCTCCTTCTCCACCACAAGGTGTAGTGGAGGAAGACCTAGCAGTAGATCCATTGCTGATATGGGCCTAGTTCTAAATGCCCCTGTTATTATTAGACAGGCTAGTCTTTGTACCTTGTCTAATTTTTTGTTAGCTGTTATGCTTTTAGTCTTGTGCCATCATATGACTGATGAGTAAGTTATAACAGGTACTACAACCAAGGTTAATCCCCCATATGTTACCTACCATCCGTCTACAGGCCCATAGTATTCTTACAGCTTTTTCTGTATAGCTGCAGAAGCTAAGCTTGTTATCAAGAGTGATTCCAAGATATTTAACCTCTTTTGCCATTTTTAGATGTTGTCCCCACATATAAAGCTCCTTCATTTCTTGAAAGTTCCTTTGTCTTGTGAATGCAACAACGGATTTATGGGCAATCCCTCTTTTAGGCACCATCTTTCGACGATATTTAGTGCCCGCTGCATCCTTTCGAAAACAACAGACCCAAATGCACCGTTTACTACGATGCTTATGTCGTCTGCAAATGCTTGCTTGTGTAAGTTTTCTCTTTATAGCTCCCATAAGAGGTCATCAACCACCAAGGTCCACAGAAGAGGAGATAACACTCCTCCCTGCGGGCATTCCTTGTTAACTGAGACCTCTCTTGTTGTGTTAAGGAGATTACTGGTAATGGTTCTATGATTAGACATGAACTCAACCCACTTCGACACATCCATACACCTGTGATCAGACAAAGGAATTAGGTTTGTTAAAGTCCAACTAAATGGCCAAGTCATTGATGGATACGTCTAAAGCTTCCTGACATTCTGAGAAAAATCGTGGTTCTGTTTTATTCTGTGCTAGATATATACCTTCCTTCCAAATCAAAGCTAAACTTTTCCACTTTTCTTTCTATCCAAATATAAAACTGCTTAGAAAGCGTATATATTTGAGGGTTAGAATTTACCTTATTATCTAATATAATAGCTAATTGATTTTTTTTTTGTTTCAGAACCAATTTAAGCCAAGAATGATCCAGTACCAAATTTAAAGAAGACAAATCAACTTTATATAATACTACACCGAAACTACCTCAAAGAAAAATATAAACCAAAACAAACAAAAAATAACCATTCAGAAGTGCCCAAAAAACAGATTCCTATTTAAATGCTAAAAAGATAGCATTCCGACTTTTCGCACCAAGTGCGCCATCTACCTCTACAGTCACCAAACGGCCCTACAATTGGCGTAGAAATAGCCCCATCACTTTGCCCAATGGGGGGCTTCACCTCCCCAGAGCAGCAATATTCGCTGCGATGGAACGACTTTCATTCTTCTATATTGTCTTCGTTTCGCCACCTCAGGGACGAAGAGGATTTCGTAGACGTCACTTTGGCGTGTGACGGGTGTTCGTTTACCGCCCACAAGGTGGTGCTGTCGGCGTGTAGTCCTTATTTTAAAAGATTGTTAAAAGCGAATCCGTGTCAGCATCCTATCGTGATCCTCAGGGATGTGCAGGATAAGGATATGGAGAGTTTATTAAGGTGAGTTTTTTTTTGTTTTTTTGGATTTGTATTGATCTAGAGCGAATGGTAATTGGGATAGTGAAGAGTACAGTTCAGCTGCGTCACAAACATAGTCGCACAGTCAGTGCCATATTACAGATTACCCGCTATATTGTAAAATTCATAGTAAATTTTTTTATGTCTGTAGATAGTAATATTATTTTAGTAAATAAGCTAAAAAATAAAATTAGAGATCTATGATTTGGTATCGGCAAGAAAAAATAGTTTCGCCTCTAGCTACACTCAAGATTTTAAGAGATATTTACGGATATACTTAACTCCTCAAGAGCTCATTACTATTGTGAAATACACGCGAGAAAAAAAAAACCGTCACATGTACAGACACATTGTGCGTACATTAAAAGAATGGAATTGGTTATTTATTACAATAATAATTCAGACTCCATGTGGGCAGGTAACCATTACTCACTCTTTATTTATTTATGACTATTTATTTAAGCGGTCATAAATCAGATTTTTGGCTATTTTCTGTGATTAACTTCAAGATCCTGTATCAATAATCACTGAGACTATGCGTAAGGATATTTTTCTGTTAGCCGCTTGTACAAAAAAAAAATGAATGGATTTATTACAAGTTTACTACAGAAGGAGTAGAACATATAAAAAAGTTTTATGTGAAAATTTAGTTGTTCGTCAGGTTAAAGTCTTCTGGTAATACAAACACGTGGATTAAAGTTGTATACGGGGGCGTGCTAAACATTTAGATAATGAATGTGTCATAGAAATAAAATACAAGTTACTATAAATATTGATATCTTGCCTAATATAAGACTAAAGGTCGGTTTAAATAGAAAATAAGCTGATCTCGCATGAGTTTTCAAAATTATTTATAGTTAGGTATTATGAGGTATTTCAAGCATACTAGCATACTATATATGTCCGCAAGCCCATCATACTTAAAATCCCTCAACACAGTGCAAAATACAGCACTAAGAATTTGTCTTGGAGCCTTTAGATCCAGTCCTTCCGACAGCCTTCAAATAGAATCTTCCGAACCCCCTCTTTTTATAAGAAGACAACGATTATCACAATCATATTTTGCTAGAGTTGTCGTAAATCCGAACAACCCAGTCTTTAATCTACTCAAAAACACACAATCAGCTCCATTAAACCGACCTGGAACAACAATCTCCTCTTTACAAACCCTGTTAAGAAACATCAATCTTACAGATACATTGCCAATCAACATTTCTAGTATTCCTCCATGGATTAAAAATCCTCCCAACTTTAATACTAGTTTATCATGTCACATCAAAACAGAAACCCCTAAGTCACTCTTCAAACAACTATTCAATGAATTGATAAATACTACTAAATTTGACAAAACTCTATTCACGGACGCTTCCAAAGATGAACACGGTGTTGGGAGTGCTGTCACCTCAACGAATACAATAATAGCATCATACAGGCTACCTAATATCTGTAGTATACACACAGCTGAATTGTATGCCATTTCAAAAGCATTGAAGACTCCAATACAAAACACCAAATCTTTTGCCATCTGCACCGATTCTCTTTCATCCATCCAATCCATAAGAAACACTTATTCACAAAATCCGATAGTCCAGGAAATTCAAGATACATGTCACCAACTCTCTTCAAAAGGAACTACAGTTACCATCCTCTGGATTCCATCCCATCAGGGCATAGTAGGTAATGAACACGCAGATCAAGCCGCAAAAAAAGCCTGCCTCTTAGAAACAACGCCAGAAAACATTCAGCTTTTCCAAGACGTACGATCTTATATTAAACAAATCTCTCAAAGTACCTGGCAAAATCATTGGAGCACCCTCAATACAAAACTACATAAAGTTCAACCCAATATTACCACACCCATGATGCCTTCTATGTCCAGAAAAGACAAAACCATAATAAGACGACTTAGAATAGGCCATTCACGTCTCTCACATGGCTTTCTCATGGCCTCCGAGAATCCCCCTGTGTGTGAACACCCGCCTCACGATAGAACATGTTCTCATGGAATGCAACCACTATAGTACCGCCCGACGTCAGCATAATCTGAAAGGAACTCTGCAGAGCATCTTAAGTTCTGCCAATAAGTTCAGTGAAGTGATAAATTTCCTCAAAACCTGTAAACTGTACAATCATATCTAATACTAATATTGTAATTTACTAATTTTAACTAATACTTTGTATCTGTGTCAATGGCCATTAGCTGTCGAGACACATTAATTTAAATAATAAAAAAAAAAAAAATTAAAAATGTTCTGTGGAGTAATGATATAAATATTGTAGGAAAAATGCTGAAACGTCTGCCTAGGAAATCAGCTGTACTACCAACCACTATCTCCAATAGTATAAATCCGACTATACTACTTTCGAATCCAATAGAAATAAACATCATGATTGAAAAATACAGTAGAAATACCACAGAAGTAACTTTATATAGACCCATAAGCCTCTTACCTATCCGTTACAAAGCATTCAAAATATTAGTATTAAACAAAATCACTATGGAATATTTAATTTTTGACTATCAATTTGTATTCAAGGAAGAGCACTCAAAAATACACCAGTATTACTGTAGTTGGTCAACAGCAATGAAGAATCCCTAGAGAATATAAAAATATGTACAGTTGTTTTCCTGGATGTCTAACAAGCATTCGACAAAGTGTACCATACTGCTTTATTGTACAAACTCCTATCACCAGAGTCGCTGAAGATAAAATAGTTCTTAACAGACACACAACTAAAACGAGAAATAATCACTATTAAAAATGAATCAACAGACACACATATCTCAGAAAATTGACGAACGATAAAAATACTGATTACTCTGTTTAACATCGAAAGAAACAATCATAGACAAGAAATTATCATGTCCGAGAGCCAAGCAGCTATCAAAGCGCTGAGGTCGGGGTACAGGGTAACAAGATTGCAGATAGTATTGCAAGAAAATGGGCTCAAACACCCTTTGTAGGACCTGAGCCGTTCTGCGGTATCAGCAGCAACATAACAAAATTGGGCAGTAGAAGAACCGATAATTGGAATAATCTCTTGGGGCTGAGACAGGCTAAGATACTTCTGGGTGAATATAACCAGAAAAGATCGGAAGCCTGCATCTGCCTGAACAAGAACAGGCTACGTATTGCAACGGGGATCCTTACCGGGCATTGCCGACTAAAAGGACACCATTGGAAGGGTCGTTATAGGCATTGAGACATTTTCTTGGTGCATTAGCGACTGAAGGGGCACAATAGATCTTTTAGGTAACAGTGTATTAACACCCCATTCCCAACATAACATAACCTAATCTTGTCTTCTCTTGTATCATAAAATGATGTGGTGACAAGCCTATAGTGCTTCTATTGCTGCTGTGGGAGTTGTTCTCATTGTCTCCGTTGTTCCAAGACAGACGAGTCTTTGTATCTTGTCTCGTTAATGCTGCTTTTTGTTGTGTCTTTGACTACCACACCAGAGCTGCGTAAGTTATTATCAGTCTTGCCACCATATTGTATGTCCAGTATATCATACTTAGTTTCATCCTCCATTATTTTCAAAAGAGCGTCTTGCCATCACTAGTGATGTTTCCGCTTTCCTTGTTTTCTCCAAATGTTAAGTCCAGATAAGTTTTTAGTTAATTGTAACCTTGAATACTTTACCTCCCCCTTTAGTTGGGCGTTTTCACCTTGGAGTTTTCTCCTGCGCGTGAATGTAATTATGATAGATTTGTTGGAACTAATTTTTAGTCTTTCCTTTTTTATCCATTTTGTTATTATGTTTAAAGCCTTTTGCATAAGGGCTCTAACTATGGTGTTGTATTTACCCTACATCATAATCACTAGATCATCGGCGTATCCGAGGGTTTTATGTCCATTATCTTTGAGAGTCCTAAGCAGCCCATCCGTGACGAGTTTCCACAAGAGTGGAGACAGTACTCCTTCTTGTGAGTATCCTCTCGCTGCCCGAGTTGCTATCCTTTCGCTCATAATGGTTGCATGTATCATTCTCCCTCTTGGCATATAGTCTATCCAGGTCACATATGTGTCCTTGTTTCCTCCATATTTCAGAGTTCTGATAATAGAGTCGAAGGAGGTATTGCCGAGTGCTCCCTCGATGTCCAAGAAAGGTCCTAACATTATCTCCTTGTTTCCCAGTCCTTTCTACTAATTGATGTAGAGTTGTTTTTGCTGTAAATCCAAACTGGTGGTCTGATATTAATTTTTACTGTCTTTGATGGGTTTCAATCGTCCTATTAATTTTTTTTTTTCTAAAACTCTAGATAGTACTGGTAACAGGGATATTGGTGTATATGACTTTACTTCATTTATTCCACGTTTTTCCAGTTTTAACTAGATAAATATTATGGAGGTCCATAAATGGATGGTTCCCACCTCAAGCCTACAATAACTCATCACATTTATTTATTTATTTAATTATTTTGCATTAGATAGCGTAGATTGTAAGAGAAATAAGAAAAAAATTATTTATAGTGCATAAGAGTGACTAACTTATTTAAAAATTGATCTTTTCCAACCGAGTCATGACCTAAACAAGCATATCACAAAAAATACGACAACAGGAAAACCGTTCCGACTAATCTAATTTATTTTTTAAATCGTTCTATTGTGTTCGCGTCAATTAAACTGAAACAAATCAATCAAAAATGCGTAAAATCGTGATCTCACACTTTTCGAATCACCTAACCAACTACTTTTAAAGTAATAAAGTGTCCATCAATGTAGCTTTTACCTCGACTCACACACGTTCTAGCTTATATCAATATTTTTTAGACCACAAATTTCGTCCGCCGTTCTCAATAATAGAAAAAAAATTAATTAAAATAGACAGGAAGGTTTCACCCGTTTTAAATGCAGGACCGTACGAATTCGAAATAACATTTGAACAGTAAATAACAGTTAAACTGGGTGATAAAAAAGTAATAATAAGAAATATACAAAATAATTAAAAATGAATATATTTTTATTTAGTAACGAGTAAAAATTGAAACAAAACTGAAATTTACCTAACCTATACGACCTAGAGCCGTGCAAATATATATTTTTTGTTCTCCATCTACCTGCTGAGACATCTAGGGATTGGTGCCTGGTGGATGAGCTGGACTGTGGGAATATTTTCTATAAACATAGAAAAGAATATTATCACATTATAAGTCCAACATGTCCCCATTCCTAGCTACCATAGCTCCAAATATGTTAATATTGTATAAATATTAGTATTTTACTTAGGGAACGCCGGTAAAGATAGAAAGAAATAGAGGTTTCCTCTTGATATGGGACAAGGTAATGCCGGTTTTATACTTATGATCTAAGGATTGTAAAATATTTTTGTGTGATTATTGTTTTGGTTTTGTTAAAGAGACCGTTGTGCTAGTCCTTATCTAATTGCAAAGATCTTTTTTCTTCTCACTTATACCGATGTCATATAGAAATTAATTTATTCTTTAAGGAAAACCATGGAAAACCTTCCATTATAGAAAAAAATCATGTGTATGTAATTTGATTTAATTTCTCAATCATTGATTTAGCACTTCGAGCTCTTAATACACGAATAACGGTCTCATCTCGTAAAATTCTATTTGAATCCGTTCCTGCCTCTTCTAACTGTAAACTCTTCAATCTGTCGGTGATACCATATCAATCATGGCGCGTACAATTTTTCTGACTGTTTATACGAATTAATTTGGTTGAAGTCAAAAGCCAAACGTACGTGTGATACGTTACACGCGGCAGGTGTTATTTTTGGTTCGGACCCGTATATTTCGAATCCAAGACACTTTTCGGTTCTTAATGAGAATTTTTATAATCCTCGATTGCGTAATAAAGAAATGTACGATGCGTGTTGCAGCCGCGCGTGAAAAGATTAAAATGCGGATAATAATAGTCTATTAATGGGGATTTTTTGATATATACCGAGTAAGACGTTGTTAAGTTTCTATAAATTATGTATTCATGATTAGGGTTGGCTTGTCATGAATGTACATTGGGAAGAGTATAATTCTTTGGCTTATTTCATAACTAAAAAGTTTTGTCCTTCATTTTTTAAATTATTTAGTTCAAATTTGGAATCCTAGGTTGCGCTATAGGGCATGTCGAATGGTTGTGAGAATCTACAGGGATCTTGTCCCCTTTTATTCCCCTAAACATGATTGCGGGGCACCGTTGGTAGATTCAAAAATATAGAATGAATTTGCTTTTGGTCTTTTGTTTTATTCATCACTGCAGTCAAAAATTAAAATTCTTTTAAAATAATATTAAATGAAAGAGCAGCTCTTAATTCCAGGTTTTTGTTACAGGTTTATGTATAATGGAGAAGTTCACATAGGACAAGAAAGGCTTACAGATTTCATAAAGACTGCGCAAATGTTACAAGTCAGAGGATTAGCTGATGTATCTGCAGCTGGCAACGCTGGACAAAGACTGACAACTGCCCCCGAACAAAAAATATCACCTGTAAGTCACTTTTAATTGGTTAAATAAGTTTTTATACTTTTTATTTTTGCTTCAATATTTGTGTTTTCAAACTTCTACACTAATGCGCACCATACGCCATGTTTAAGAAAGTTTCTTAATAAAATGAGGGAATGTCCCACCTCTCTGTTAATTTAATAACGAGTGTAGAGTTATAATAAAATTTTGAAAATTGCAAAGTAGTCAAAAAGTTAGGTCAAAATTATTCCCAATTTGTACATAACTACATTCCCATATTTTGTAATACGTTCGGATGAATTTATGGACTGTGTAATTATTCACAAACAACAATCATCCATGGTACTTATCAATAATTTTCTAGATAAAAGATAGATTTGATTGTACGTACCTATTTAGGTCGACTTAAATACTAGTTTTTACTTCTTTTTTCACACATACATTTACATTTAAATTTACCTTTAAATACGTGTATCATTCTTGATATAATTGCGTGTCTAATATTTAGTAAAACAAAAAAGTATTGTGTTTTTCAACAAACGCCTATTAATGGTAATAAGCCTCAAAATAAATGGGAATCCGAGGCTATTCCATGTGGTGATTGGCGAAAAAAGTAGATATTACAGAGTTGTCTGTGTCAATGTATTTGTGTATTCGCTAGACTGTTTAGATAAATAAATACTTTTTTAAGTTATTTAAAAGTAGTCTAGTAAAATTTCTTGGAATTAGATACACTGTAATCTCTAGATTACTAAACAATACTTGTATAAATCTTATCAGAATAGTTTCTAAAAGCAATTTGAAGTTCAAAAATGTTACACCTTCTTAAAGTATCCCATGGATTGGAATGTCATTCAAACAACTCTTGGACATTCAAGAAAATATTATAAATTAAATAACTTTATTTACTCTAACCCTACTTAATTGTGGAATATTCTGTATTTCTTCTTCTTCTTCTTCTTCTTCTTCCTTTATTGGGCTATATCCCATATTCCTATACTTTCAGATTTAGTAACGCCAATGTTTACGATAGGAATGGAGGCCAATTGGGGTAGGAAATCAAATTTATAACATGGTAAAAGCTCTAAAGTATATAGGTGAGAATTCACGACATTGAATTGACTAATGAGCTGAATTAGTAGAGGATTACTTTTGTTATTCCAGTAGGTAGAGACCCCACATAATCTTTTTAGTTTTCTTAAAGCAGTGATAATGAGATTGTTTACCAAAGACATATTTTTAATTAGGTCCTTAAGGGATAGCTATTATCTTCTAAATCTAAGGGGGATTTCACCTGTCTCTATCAATAAGGCTAGAATTGGGGTAGATTTCATACACCCTGTGATGATATGAAGGCTTTCGTTCTGAAGTATATCTAACTTCTTTTGTATGTCCTGAGAACACGATATAATAATTTAACATCCATAATCGAAGTGGGACAAAATGATTCATTTATGTAAAATTCTTAATATTTGTGGGTCACATCCCCACCAAGCCCCACAGAGAGCACGCATGACATTGAGGTTATGATTGATCTTAACAGTTAAATCATTAAAGTGAGAATTCCATTTAAGATTCTTATGAATGCTTATCCCAAGATATTTAACTTTATCCTTCCACTGAATGATTTAAGATTTATAGATGATATTAGGTAAAGTAATTTTAGTTACCCCTTTAATGAATAAAGTTTTATGCAATGAAAGATTAAGGTTAAGTTTTTCCAACCAGGACTCTAATTTAAGCAAAAAGGAGTTAATATACGTGGAATCATATTGTAAACATTCGATCCATTAACCAGTATTACCAGATCATCAGCATATTGAATTAATTTAAAATGATTAGGCAGAATATCAAATAGAGACATGTTATAAAGGTTAAACAAAATGGGACTGAGCGGAGAACCTTGAGGAAGGCCTTGATTAGTAGTTTGAGGACCATGGATGTTGTTGTCCAAATTGTCTCGAGTAAATAGTTCTCTTTGAACTAAAAAGGAATGTATTAAATTGGCCAAATCCACTGAGACATTCGCATCTAGTAAAATGGAATATAACCGAGGAATATTAACTGAATCATATGCAGCAGAAATATCAATGAAGAGACCAATAGTAAATTCATTAAGGGAGAAACCTATTTGCACTTATGAGGTAAGATATACAAGACAATCTGTACAACCCCTGCCTCTTCTGAAGCCCAATTGTAAGGGATTAAGAATTTGGTTATTTTCCAAATGCCATTCAAGTCGATTTTTGATTAAGTATTCTAATACTTTGCCTAGGCAAGAGGAAAGGGAAATAGACCTATAATTTTAAGCTACCATTTTATCCTTATTTGGCTTAATTATAGGCAGAATTAAGGATTGATTCCATTGTTGAGGAATTGAGCCTGTTAAAAGACATTTATTAAAGATACTCAGAAAAAACGAGGAGCCTGAACGAGGTAATTTTTTTAGCATAGAGTATGAAATAAGATCTAAGCCTGGAGAAGAGTCTCGTTTCAAATTTAACACACTTGAGTATTCATTAAGAGTGAAGCGGGATTCTGAATGAGTTAAGCTATTAATTTGGCACACATTTTCCAGGGAAGGAGGGGAAAGAATGTTTAAGATTTCTTGCGCAATCGATTATAAATTAAATAAACCTTATTTACTCTAACCCTACTTAATTGTGGATTATTCCGTATTTAAAATAAACTATAAACTATTCTCCAGTCATTGACAAATATTAATTTCTTAAAAAACTAAGGTGCCCTCAATCCAAAAATCTTCTGAGGGTCCTAGAACGGATCCTTACGAAACACCTTGCCTAACAGGTAAACTGTTAAAACTTTTACAGAAATAAGCTTTCAAAATAAGTTTATGAAAACGATTGCTATGATAATTTTTTATATTAAGCAAACAGAGTTTTGAGAAAAACCAAAGTGACAAAACCATTTTTTTGTTTTTCTCACTGGTTTAATCTTGAGGTTAATGTTACGGATCTCCCCTCGTAAAGCAATACTTACCTATAAAAGTCTATAATTATTTCGAACACTCCCATTTTTCCATCACCTGACTAATATTATACGTTTTTTGATTATTTCCATACCTACTCATCGTAATACTAAAATTAATAACAGACATAAATTTGATACGTAAGTAAATTTCCTGGTCTCAAAGGTGCGCCAACAATTCGTCCAAACTGTATTAGATGTAGTTAAATGTGAAAGGAATCGAGATTTTGTTAATAAATTATGTGTCCCAATAATGTTAATTGCAGTTGTTTTAATGTAGGAAAGTAACACGGTGTCGATCGTTAATAGAAGAATTAGTATTATTAAATGTAATTTATCAACCTTGTACATTATATGAAATATCTAGACCTCCAAAATGTTAAATCAATTTCGGTTTTTTTCAGTCAATCAGAAGAAGTTTTTAATTGCGAAATTTTCTTTTGAATATTAGTATTTTTGTATCTGAAAATTTGATAAAAGAGCTTCCTGGTACTGAACTCCAGAAGACAGACTGTAATGGGGATATTTGTACCAATTATAATAATATCACAGAATAACTATTACAGAAGCGAAGGCTTGCGTCGGGGTGGCCAAAATTTAAAGTGACACTCGGTGACAGTTGACGTTCTTGCCGGATTCGTATAAATTCGGATAATACACTGAGAAAAGGATTTAAATATATGTAACAATTTTATTTCTTCTCTAAATTGAAGGTTAGTGATATAATTAGAAAAATAAGGCTGCACGATAATTTATTTTGAAGTAAGTTGTACTGATCGCTAAACTAAAAAAGGGTTTTTACTTGAGGAACCAAACCGAATACTCGTACTTAATTCATCAATTTTTTAAGATAACATTAATTCTTTAACAGAGTGATTTTATTATAATTTATTGATGTATTAATTAATTGTGTAATTTCCTGGAAAACATCTTCAACTATGATAGTTGGATCTAGAAAAATAGATTAAACTGATAATAACTGGTATTTAAAATGCAAATATACTTCCCAACTGTCATTTTGAAAGCCTTTTATGTGTTCAAAACAACACTCGCATGTGACATGACAATTCTGCCGGTTATAAAATGGCGGCAATGATCATGCGCAAAAAATTTTGGACAACAAAAATTAGCTATCCTTCGCTTCTGTAATAGTGGTTATTCTGTGATAATATAGTGATATGGAAATTCAATCTTCAGTTTACCTCGATTTTTCCTGAAAAAACGTGTCAAAAAGGTCTATAATTTATGGTGAATGGGATAAAACTACTAATTGCGAATGTACCTTATGAGATATATACTATCGCACACTATACTGTAGGCCTTTACAATTTTCTAGTATATTCTTTGGACAGTTTAACACATTCACCGCCAAGCCAATTTTCATAAAACTTGCCAGCACGCCACCCATAAGAGCGACTCAGCGGACACCGGTGTCCGCTCTGGCACCATGCTTAAAAAAGCATTTTTCCCTCGCATCACGCCAGGGCGGACAAAATTTTTCCGATTTTGCCACGCCACAGCGGACACAAATATCTCAGCGGGCACGTCGTAACAGGTCTGTTTGCCGCCAAATGTCTTGCTAAGCTCAGTGTTGCATAAATTAGCGTAGTAGACACTTGACAGTGGTTTTTCGTCACAAGTTTTTTCTATTTTGTTTTTGCATAAAGTGACATTAGAGAGTTATTGCAAGTTCAGTTAAGATCTGTCACTATTAGTGCCGCTCTTATTTTGACATACGAGCATGTGCAGATCACTAACTTTATTAAAGATTGTGCCTGTCTTTAATAAGAGAGTTATTGCAAGTTCACTTAAGGTCAGTCACTATTAGTGCTGCTCTTATTTTAACATCTAAGCATGCGCAGATGTATTATTTTCTGAAACTGACTTTATTGAGGATTGTGCCTGTCCTTAATTGTGTATGTTTAAGGGCAGCAGGAAGTGGCGACTTTATAGCTTTCGGATGCGCTCGGCGACATTCGTATCCGTTAGAAGTTTTTTAATATTAAATATTTAATATAATCGTCAATTATAATCAA